ACCTTCCATCCTCCAATCCACTCCCCACATGACTACACTGACCAAAACTGCACTGTGTAAAAATCAAGAATCTGGAAATCAATGTGGGTAGTAGGAGCCTGAGTACTTGGGCCATCAGCGGTTGCCTTCCCAAGAGCATTAATGGTGTGCTCAACCAGAAATGAAGCAGCCAGGACTCGAACCAGCAATGCTGGTAGCAGCTTCACCTTTTATACCACAATGCCACTCCATTGTTACTAATCTTAAATGATGCTGGACTTTCTATCACTGTCTATACCTACAATATCAGGGTTCGCGTAAATAGCAGAATGATCAACTTGTGATTGCTGCTGAAGGACTATACAAGTGTAATAATATGAAGGGAAACTTCTATGAATGGAGGAGGAACCGGAAAGGTGGAAAGGGAAATCCCTGACTCTTAAGTAAATTTTCATGAAAAATAAAAAATTAGAATGAAATATTCTGTTTCTATTCTAAGTGTCTGAAAGTGTTTGTAGAGTCTATTCTTCTTATAGAAGTTCACAAATTGTTATATCTAACATTGAAAAATTACAAACACAAGAACCTTTGCTAAATTTTTTCCAAAATTACATAAGCGTGGGATATGTTTGCTTTCTAACAATCTTCATGTTACTTTGGAAAACACTGGATTTATGTGTGGTCTGTTAGTTTTCTTACATGTGTCCTTGGAAAATTTCACTAGTGTAATTTAAATTAGTTTTCCTAACACTAAAAAGGCAATGTAGATAACACAATATGAGGTCATTCATGTGATTAGATCAATGTGATGTATTATTATACCTATGAAATACAATTTAAACCCAAACATTTATAAAATGTTAGTGAAAGATTCACAGTGTGAATATAGTTTCTTTCTACAAAGGACTTATGGATAATATTACATAGCCTCACTTTTGGAATTTAAAGTGATGTACAAAAGAGATCAATTTGCTAATAACTCTTGAAAAACATGTGCATTTTGGACATGTGTAATCTTAATGTGTTAAAGCATTACAATTTTTTCCAATACATTATTGAAATCTTTCTTACAGTCGTCTTTCACCATGTCCCTTTTAACATTCCGAAATTATGTTCTTCCTCAATACGCCCATTTTCAGAAACAGTAGTAACAAAAACAGATTTTCTGAGAAACAATCTTAAAAGTCCATTTTGCATGTGCAATCATAAGAAGTACAAAATGTTTTAACAGAATATACTTACATTCTTAGATTACACATCAAACTCTTAGTAAATATTCATCAATAAGTAAAAGAAGGATGGATAAATAGGTTTTAACACCTATTCGAAAAAAATATATGCAAAATTTTCCATCAGAAACCAACAGCTGCAAAGCTGAAATGGAAATGAAGCTGATGTGTTTCAGAACAAAGGAAATACCTTTACAGAATAGCAAACATGGAGACAAGGCTCTACTGTAGGAATGATACACAGGAGCTACAAAATGTACAAAGCTAGGAATTCATTGAGAGGTTAATGAACAGAAGGGATCCAAATGCAATCTTCAGGACACTGTAGAAGAAACTGATTGGCTACACCCCGGGTGGCACTGGGGAGACGCAGAATAAGTACAGACAAGGACTGAAAGGCTTGTAGAAGTAACCCAGATGAAAGATGATGGTGTTATGTACTAGAGTTTCCATAACACAGATCTAGAGGATGTTTTTGATTAAAGGCACAGTATGCAGGTAGATCCAAAGGGAGTTGATATAATTTACGTGGCGAATGTAAGAGACAAGCAGAACCATGGATGAAATCTAGAATTTTGAATTATTTGAAAGACAGTACAACCTATCAATGCCTGGAGAGCCTGGTAGATGCCAATCAATGTGACAGGGATGGGGGGTGGATTACATAGTCTTGACTTGGCTATGTTATGTTTGACGTGCCCATTAGGCACCTAAGATAAGAAGTTGAATGAAAAGCTGGTATTTAAATGTTGAACATCATCATCATATAGTTGGTGTTAAGGCCATAAGATACGTATGGGCAAGTGAAGGTGTTAAATTTAGAAAAGAAACAATTTATTTTATTCTTTCATCAGAAATTACAATTTCTTCTCTCTTCCCCTTTCTGTAGCTACTGACATTTTAAGCAAACAGTACTCCCTACTTATTAAGAGTCACGTCCAAAAGTAGGGAGTACTGCTTGTTTGAATACACACTTTGAAATTACATTTGCCTTTTCCTGCGCTAACTTCTATTAGGAAAGAAGATGGAAACTGATACATGGAATGCACATAATGACAACAGGTGATTTCCATGTATTGCCTTATTTCCTTTTCACAAACATCTTTCTCCCCTTTGCACGGACTTGGAAGCAGAGGCTGAGAGAAGTTTCTCAACGGTCATACAGCTAACAGATAAAGTCATGATGGGTAACATTCAGGGATTTTCATGCCAGGGAATATCTTTTAATCAGAACAGTACCGCTAATACTACGTATTTGCAGGAAAATTCCATATATTAAATCTTCAGCAACTGCTTGCTTTTCACTGGGCAATCTATTCCCTAAAGCATTAAAAAAAGGTACTAGATTTTTAAAAATTCCTAATGAAAGAAGAGATTTTCCCATTACAGATATCTGGAATAAAAAATCACCTTAATTTTTTTCCAGTCTGTCATTCCTTCTTTACTGTCATCAAAGTTGTCCTGAGGACCAAGACTGCCTAGTTTAGCATTGTTCTATAAAAAACTAACTGATAAAATACTTAAGAAAGCTTAAAGCAACAGTAAGGGGGAAAAAAGACTAAAGAAATAGAGGAAGAGGAGGAGTAAAAAATTTGTGACACTCTGAGGACATTTGTTACATCACAGCCACTGTAAAATTATTCCAAACATAACTTTAATCTGTTTACTTAGCGCTCTCTGAAATTACTCTATTGTGAAAATATAGGAAAAGAGAATTTTAGTCATTGTCCATATTAAAAATCATTTGGCAAATACAGTAGTACTTTTATATTCAAAAACATAACTTGAGGAATACATACCTTGGAGATCATACTCGTTCTCTGTAGGTCTCTCTCTCTCCCAGTCTATGTTACCTATTATTTAGTTCTAACTAAAATCTAAAGTCACACATAAGTAAAACACTAAATTCATTACTCTTTATAGTGAGTTCTATTATAATTAAGGTATAAAGTAAATCACTGTAGTCTCAAGTTCTGATTTGATATATTTCATATATGCAAATGAAGATTAGATGTTTTCTGAAGAAGCTGCATCTGTGTTTCAGTGTAATTTTAAAGCATTTTTTACTGGCTCATATTTTTCTTTATTTTGTCAATTATTACTGATATGTATGCATACTTCTCTGTTATATAAATATTTTTTATGAACCTACTATATGATACTACACAAATGCATTTTAAGTGGGTGGTTCATGCATAATTTGGTCCAGTGTCTTATTAATTCTAAAGTATAGTAAGTTGACTTCACTAGGTTTTTAGCAAATTCTAATCCTGAATATTGAGTGTTTCAAGTTGGAAAACTGGAATGAAGAAATGAGTTAGTAGATAATTCATGGCCAATGATTTTTCCCCAAAATGAAATTTTAAACTGGGGCTGGATTTTTTTCTAAGGTTTTATTTACAGTTGCCCTATTTTTATTTACTTCATTTTTAAGCTTTCTGTTACAACAAGCTTGAGAGATTAATAACATATTATGTTTATAACATGTAATATGGAAGATATTATGCTGAAGCATCCAGTTAAAAACAGATTTTAAAGGAAAATCAGTTCATTACTTTTTTCTATTGCTCAGAATCAGAATATTTAACTACTTGGCAATTTTAGTGCATTGGATTTTCAGAAAACTGTTCTTATGAACTTTTCAAAGTAATAACAAAGTCACAAATTTATGCCACATGTTTTCCTTTATATGTTTCTATATGCTTCCCATTATAAGAAAAAAAAGCCTCAGTTGTGTTTGAAAAGAAATGCTATTTCAAATGGGATCTTCAGTATCGCCAACGAAATTGCCAAGCAGTGTCAACAATGGACTGAATCACTTGCATTTTAAATATTTCATTTACAATATTAAACTATTTAAAGTTTAGCCATTTAAAAAACATTTAGTCATCTAAAAGTTAATTGAAACTAATTTAAAATGAATTAAAGTCATTTAAATATTTCAAATGGCTGAGTAAAGGTTTGCTTCATTTGAATCACTCTGGTTTTATAACGTATACTTTCTTGGATAATAATAATATGAACACAATTTCTCTTCACCTTAGAACTCAGAATAGGAACAAAGCATATCTGCTAGCAAATCCCTATGATTTATATCCCAGTGCATCTAGAATCCTAAGGAGACTAAGTTCAACTTTCAGTTGCATTTTCAAGACAGAATTACAAATTTTCCTTTCAGCTGCTTGAAAAAGAACATATTTTGGGGCTTGCAGTAAATCAGTATCCAAAATATTTGACACTGTTCCATCTGCTATTAATTATCAACCCATTTCTAATTAGCATCGTAACCCATTAAATAGCTAAGCCAGTTATGAGAACAAATTGCTACTCTTTATGTCACTGAGGGAAGACTTAATGAAAATTGATAGAAAAAGATGGTTCAGAAAATATTTATTATTTATTATGTGTACATTTAAAAAGTAAATTAGCATGGGATGATCTTAGGAAAGCAATGCATATTTTTGGATTAGACACTGGAGTAAATGTATGATAAATTGACAAATTCACATTGCCAATGTTATGAAAAAAATGATGCAGCAAAATAATTAACAGGCATTTTTCATTTGTTATAAGGGTATCTTTCTATTATCTATTTGGGTTATAAGGTTTTTATCTGTAAATTTAAGCACAAGCGTTACAGAAGCACAAAGTGAGAGGAACAACTCACTTGCAGAATGCTCATCGGAAGTTAGAAAATTGCACCTAGATTTGTGAATTTTGGTTTGTTAGTAGGCTTCTGCTAACAGAGTAGTAGTTGCAAACACATACATGGGTTTGCCAGTGACAACTCACAATTTGTGCAAAGTTGAGTCTTCGAAACTGAGCAAATTTGCTCTCAATTTCCCGCCAGCGCTTGCTGAGCTGGATCTGAATTGGTTCCACTGCCATTGCGGCCCCATCCTCAGACAAGCCCCCAGCTTGCCTATGCACTGCATTCAGCTCCTCTTTCTTCTTCTGCAATTCACGATCAATTTCCTATTGAGCAAAACCAATACAGGGCCCAGGGCAGTTAGCTAACCACATCAACCGACCTGCAAGCAGCAAATACTTCTCTCAGAAATTTCATAGGCTGTTGTTCCTTTGTCATTTTTCAAAATTTACACAAATGGAAGAGGTCATTCTAATCCTCAGCCAATAGTCCAATGAGTAATTGAGTTCTTTTTGGAATGCTCAATTTTAGAGCTTCTAATTAATAAAATATTTAAATTGGGTTGGAAGTTTCTTTCTAGTGTGCTTTTCTAGCATTTTGGAAGTTGATCCAATTAGAATGCTTATTCAGTATTTGTTAGGGACCATCCACATAGAATACTATGGAGAGGGTGTGGGAGTAAGAAATGTATTTTCTTTTTAAAGGTTTGAGGAACTCAACAGAGAATGAAGCAACATAAAAGTGTAAAATAATAACTGAAACACATCTTCAGACAATATGCAAACTAAACTACACAGATTTGACACTGATGAGTGAAGATGCTCTGATGAAATGAATGTGCTAACATGAGAAAGAAGTCGTCCATATACCGATAGATAAGTCATTAGTTCATCTGGAACAAAGATACACAAAGTCAATTACAATTTTACCAGAAATTACATGACATTTCTTAATTCATTTATATTGCCCAAAATGAAATATTTCATTCATTCTACATTATCAATTGAGTAACACGTAATACAATACATTCACTAAAACAAAACACAATACAAGCAAATACATCAAATCAAAGAGAATGTTAATAGAGGAAACAAGAACATCAACATTATAAATACGACCCCCGAGGTTAATTAAATTTGCAACAAAATCTAGTGTTGGCATTCTAAAACAACATTACCTTTATTTTCCTTTCATCTTTGGGTTCAGGTAGGCTGGCTAATTTTTTTTCAATGTCATCCAAGCACTTCAGGAGATCATCAGCCTGCCTCTTGTACTGATACCACTGATGAGAAATTTCTAGAGCCTTTTTTCTTCTTTGAGACCTCAAATCCTGTTCATGGTGCAAATATTATTAAAATATCAATTTATATTTAGGCAAAGAACAAACTTCTGGCTGCATTTATTTATGCACATAATTTGAGTTACAAATGTTTTTATGCAAATTGTTGCAACAACATTTAAAATGAAAAATATAGAAATGACTACATTTTGTAATTATGTGGTAGTACAAACATGTAGATGCATCTAAGGACCCCAAACAATACACTCTAAATGATTTTCTCTTGTTATTTTCACACGTCTTTAAAAATTTTGGGGGATAGTGCATTGGCCCAATTCGCTAATCCTTCACCTCTAGATGCTGGCATACCATATAGGTGCTGGTTCGTGTCCCAGCAGCTCCAATTCCCCATTTTTGCCTGAGAAATTAGCAGAGGATGGCCCTATGCCTTGGTATCCTGTACCCACATGGGAGATCCAGGAGAAGCTCCTGGTTCCTGGTTTCAGACTGGCTCAGTTCCAACAGTTGGCAATTTGGGGAGTGAATCAGCAAATGGAAGATCTTTCTGTCTGTTGCTTCTTGCTCTGTAAATACGCCTTTCCAATAAATCTTAAAAAAAACCAAACCTTGTCATTTAATTCTTAAATAGCTAACCAAACTGCCCTATTATCTGTGTGAGATACTTTAATGTAACAATAAAACTGATTTAGCTAGATAGTTACACAACTTGATGAGGCAGTATTTGACTTTAAAAAAGTTTGAATCCTAAAATTTCTATCATCGGTCGTGTGCTTATTAACAATTTTTGATACAACCAAGTAACAGATATTCATTATGCTAGAAAAAGTTTCTCAGGCTCTTAATACCATATGATTAAAATGTAAATTTACTTTAGTTATTTTAGAATCTGTTCCAAGCTTCATGTGTACAAGCATAACAATAGTACGGACAGCAACCTGTATACATGAAAATGTCTAATTATTCCTTCAAAGTTTGTCTGCACAACTTTTTCTTGTTTTACCAAATCATCTTCCACATGCAAAATTGGTAATTTTTAAAAACCAGAAGAGGGAATATAAGTTTTCAGATCAACCTGGTGAGATAAGACTGACTGACTTAATAAATCAAGTAAAAGGGAGAAATCAATGGTTTCCTTCCTTATAGCGCATCTTAAGCCTTCCCTGATCAACAGAATGAGCTGTAATGGCATTTTGTCATAACCCATGGGAATTTAAGATCTCTACAGATAGCTTTTACACCTTTAGGGAGGTAAAAATTTAGGTTTTATGCACAAGTTTAACCCAAGCTAAAGAAAATAATGAAAATGAAAGACTATCAAAACATTTATTGCAATGGAAAGTCTTAAACTTTAAACTATTTTGTAAAGAGTAAAATTTGCACAAGGTAGGTTAACATAGTTATTGAATTTGGTACTTGTAAATGGGTTGAAAATTGCACTAATCATTTTTAGCATTTACTTGCAAAAATTATCTAGATTTTCTTCTCCATTTTTTTTTTAAAGCTGGGGATAAAAGTTTCAGGACTTATCATGTTACATTTTGAGACCTCCTGTTGAGGGAATAAATGTCCAGGTCAATTCAGATGGAATGCTGCTTGTTTCAAAGTGACCAAGATACAACAAAATCAATCAGTGGAGCCATGCCTCCTTTGTGACACAAATCATATCTCTGGCGAAAGGGCCTGATGGTCACAACTGTGAAACTCCCTTGATTTTCAAGCACAGAGTGATGTGTAATACATAAAATACTTAGAGACATCATCTAGAGATCTTTGGAAGTAAGCCAGGTAACCATTAAACACTGCTGATAGGAGGCATCCTCCTACGACCAGTGCAGATGCTTCCAAAAACTCAGGCCCAATCAAAAGGGTGTGAATTATACAGCTTTCTGATATTCTGAGCACAGAATGGTTTGCTTTTGCACTCCACTGAGGAAGAGGACTTCCCTATTTGCTATATTTATCAGCAGTTATCTTCACAACACTTGCTGGCCAATTAGACTTCCTCGTGGATTCCTTGCAGATTCCTTGCAGGCACAATACTGTGTAATTACATTCTCAGCAGTGCTTATTTGGTTGAGTATAGGCAAAAGTTTCATTCTCTTATTTGCATACATAAGGCAGATTCCATACACCAATTAAGAAAATGCACCTACTTGGGTGCACAGCTCAAAACGAGTGATTTACAATGAAAAGCTAAGCAATTTGCAGTATTAGAAAATCAGCCATGCATGTTTAATAGTGAATATTGCAAAGCATTCACACACACACAAAACTTCAGGAAAATTTCCAAAAGGTCCAATTAAAAAAAGTTTATATATTATTAAAGATCAAGCAACAAATTATTCTATTTTTCCTGAACAAACCAGTTGTGTCATATAGGTACTTGAAGCCATATATCCCAATGCTTAAACGGAAAATAGAATTTCTTTTTCAAGGCTATTCATACTACCTTTAGGAATTCTTGCACATGCTTAGTTTCAAGTAATGACTATTGAAGTCAATTATTTTTTAAAATGAGAATCCAGGTCTAATAAGATTACTAAATTTAGACCCATTATAAATTAAATCAATGAAGGAAGGAAAAAATGGAAGGATATTGGTAAACTATTGTGGACGTTTTGTAAGGTTTTCAACACAGTTACACGAATAACATATAAAGTATACTAGACATTTAAGTGTGTAAATGTTATGACACATTTTTATATCTTGCATTAATACACAGAGAACTCTATCTGAATGAAAAAGTGAAAATATAAGCAAAAACAGCTTGAAAAATCAGATGGCACACAAAAAAATGTTGAAGCACATACATGGATTAGAAGAAAAGTCACTTTCTGGTGACTAACATTCTTCAGCAGACTTTATTTATGCACAATATATCTGAGCCTACACATAAAAAACACAGGCAGAGTATAATTTGAGCTCTAATACCTTGAGAGCATTATGTTTTGTCTGTAACAGCTGCTGTTTTATCTTTATTTCCTCTCGCTTTCTCTCATCTGTGATTCTTTGTTGTAAGTTGTCTCCTCTTTGCAACAATTCTTTTACAGTACCCTCATTGTCTTCACTCTGATTAAAAACAACAAGTACAGTCTTCATTTTGCTTTTTAAAAAGCTGTACATTGTTAACAAAGATAATAAAACATGTTACTTAAACGCACAAGAAATCCAATTTAAAACTTTCAGGCACTGCTATTTCAAGATACTGTCATTCCAGACTGTTTTTATTTTTCTAAGATTATGTACTATAGGTTTTAAAAGAAGTTGGTTTCATTCAATCCAGTTCTAAAGCAGATAAATTTTAGAATTACATGTAGGAAGGTCAGGGGAATTAAAGTAACTCATCATCAGAGAAATCAAGCATTTCTGCAATATATTACTTTGGTTTTTATGTTTGTCTTCATCATATAATTTTTAAAAATAATAACATAATATAATAATTTTATCATTTATGTTGATTGATCAATGTAGGAATATGGATGTGCATACATTAGTGTGAATGTCAATAAATCCAAAAACCCTACAAAAGCAATTATTTTGCTTTAAACGCATACTAGTTTCTGTCTAACAATGTCTACTGAATATTTGACATGAAGTGTCCATATTTAGGACAAATGACAGAGTATTACTAAAAGCAGATATTTATATCAAATATAGCAAATATATTTTTTAAAATGCCTTCGCTGTGCTAATATAAAATAAGATTCAGTATTATGATAACTATTGGAATAATGACTTTAAAAGTTTTCATTGTATACTTTTTTCTTTTGGACTAAAAGCACAATGTGTTGTTACTTAGATATAAAATGATTTGAATAATCTCATGTAATATAGTTACAGTTGAGATTATGAGGACTGTGTAATTTTTCATCTCCGGTTATCCTTCCTTCAATATACACTAGCTGTGCAATCACATGTAAAGTACAATGGTAAGCTAAGTATATGAAACAATAGACAATTTTCAAGAGTCACAAGGTTGTATGTGCATGCTATTCATGACATGTTACATATTTCAATCTACATGTTGTGCTTATACTTCAGCACACACTCCGGGACTAATTCGTTTTGCATAGGAGGGTGAATGGGATTATGCTTATTTGAGATTTCTCAATTAATGGAATAAAATGCACAATGCAGACACATTTAATGGCTACAGCCTGTAAAAGACCTGACTGATTTCATTGTGCCTTTTCAAAGTCAACAAACATTAGGCAAGTCCTCCTCCCTCCTTGGCCCACATCAGGTGAGGGCTCTAGGACAGCTTGGTGGGCAGCCCAAGAGGCAGCCTGTGTTGGTTTTCATGTCAGTGTCTTCTGTTTTCTTCTTTGCCATGAAGTACAGGTAGCCAGAGCTCAGCACCTTAAAAAGCCTCTTCTTGCCTTTTCATGAGCTGAGTTAGCCAGGGCATCAAGCCCACGCACAGGGAATTCGGACTGCAGCAGCTCCAGAGAGGTCAAAATTGATCCCGGTAAGAACTATGACTGGAGAAATTATGGCTTCCATTGCTGCTGCACTTGATTATCTTAAGTGTTTTATACTGCCTCTGATAACCACTTCAAACATTGTGAAGTTTGTAGCATTGATGCATTTAAAAGGAAGGATGCCACAGGGGTGATGGCAGTGGAAGTGTGGAAAAGAAGTTGTGAAAAGGTGAAGGGAGAACAGAAAAGGCAGTGAAGGGGGATGTGAGGCAGAAATGATCAAGCCAGACAGGAAAAAAAAAAAAACACATTTTGAAGTTAACTGTGATTGAAGCAAGTTGGTCTGAGACTAGGAATAACCCACATAATCATGTTTCTTCTAATTTCATGAAATAAGCAGCATGAATTTACACAGATTTTAAATATACACTGTATTATTCTCTCAAAATTTTTGGCAAAATCACATTGTGGGACATTTTTATGACCAATGTTATAATTTATGTAACTGCCCTTACTCTAAAATAAAAATTGGACTATTAAAAATATGACTGTCAGAAAACATCAGCCCTGATACTTACTAGTTATCTAACAATTTCTGATTGATTCTTTATATTACATTTTTGCTCTGAGTGCAAAAATACAAGTCAAAACTCTCAGAGACAATACAGCAATTCAGGACTTGAAATAGCCAACAAAACATTTTGAATTTATAAAAATTATTACTATGACCAAATGTGCATGCTGTATTCTGAGAATTCAGTTCGAGACTGATGGAATTTCTTTCTAAATATTTACACATTTTCACTCCTACTTCATTCACACTTTTATCACAACCAATTTACCATATCTTTATTGAAGTCTTCCTCTTTCAGATTCACCCCCTGCTGAATTTCAGCCTCCAGTGGTTCAAGCAATTTTTGTATATCTGAGTTAAACTGCTCCAATTCCTTCAAAGGAATTGAGGCCTAAAAAAAAGAAAAAAAAAGAAAAAAAGATAGTGCTAATTTAAATTAAAGTTACTTTTATTAGACTCATAACCCAAAAGAAATATATTGATTCAACCTCCTGTTGCTAAACTAATGACATACATTTTGCCCCTATTTTTTTATTTTATGAAGGTTTTGAAATACAACAGGGAAAATACCAGAGGATGAAAGTGAAGAGAAACATTTAATATCACTAGAGCCGAACATACATGCAGGATAATAAAATTCATCATTCTGTGACATCAACAAAAGTTAGTCAATAAACATTCGACTGTGTCAATTTCTAATATTCTAAAATTGAATTGAACTTATTTTGTATACTACAATGTCAATATTATTGGATAAAATATGTTTTAGCCAAAATTGTCTCTTAATAATAGTAACTGCAGGTAGAAACTGGAGTTGTCACTTTATCATTAGAGAAACTACCTGGAGATATGCTCAGATAATATTAAATGAAATTTTCAGCAAAACAAAATTTGCAGCAATGTTTTCCTAAGACAAACCAAGCCATAGCTTGTATTAGGGATGGTTATTTTGGTGGCACACACTAATTCAGATGAAGAAACATAGGAGATTTCACATATTCTGAACACATGGTATCCAGACTATAAGCATTACATTTCTTTATCCATTTTGAAATCCATAGTGGACAAGTGTTCAAAATCCTTAAAAGTTAATGAAAATTTTCCTAAATACACAGTTGAAAAAACTGATGAATTCAAAGATATAAAATATTATATATTCGAAAAGGCAAGATTTAATAAAATTTCATTGATAAAATACATTTCTATTATCTTTTTTCTGTTGCCTTAATTTTCTCCTTTGAGAACACTTGAAAATATTTTACACCTGACAGAATTTCAAAACCCAATAATAACATACAAAATTCTAATCTTGTTTGAGCTAAAAGTACTCATTTTGTAGAATCAACTCAGGAATGACCTCCAGGGTCTTATATCAAGATTAACACATTTATTAAGTTCACATCCCACTTACTTATTCTTTCCCAATCATTTTACTAACTGCAGGTTTGCTCTCTGCTTATTAGATGGCAACCCCAGCAGAACAATAAGGACAAGTGCCCAGGGAAAACCAGGTATCCAAAAGTCTATTACTAATGTAGCATCAAATGCTATTCATAAGGAAATGATTTCCACATGCAATATCAATAAGCACATATATTCTAGGAAATTTTTACACATGCTAGAATTAAACTGATGGTTATTGAGACTTATTTCATACTAAATTCTAATGATTACTATTCATTTGAATATAATACATACTTGAACCAGTATAGATCAGCGGTTCTATAAATACACTTGAAGGGTATTTCAGTCTCTATGTTCCTATACGTATATTAAAATCACATTTTGTTAAAAACATTATTAGAATACATGATTGTTTAGAATCATGACTGCACAATGTCAATTTGGTGGCATTTTATGCTATTAAAATCCTGTTTATACTCAGTAAGCTTTAGTAAAGAGTGAACTACTATATATGATGATAAACATTTTTTCAGTTATCTTTAATTCAGAACAAGTTTGGTAAAATACTGTGAGCCTATCCGCAGTTAGATTTACCTGTTTTTTTCCACTGCTTCTTCTCTAGCTCATCTTCTGTTCACATACTCAATAGAGTAGCATCGAAGGCTCAGAACTTGGGCATCTACTCTTTCACACTGCTTCTTCCATAATAAGTTGTATTTCTTCCATAAACTTAACTACAACTTTCAGAACTCCAAAGTTCTGTCTTACGTATTTACATAAATTTTGACTTCCAATTCTGAACTCTTCAACAGTCATGCAATTTCTCACTTGAAATTTCAGAAGGCTTAGAACTGAGCTCATCCTCTCCCTAAACTGCCTACAATAACACTCTTCCCTAGTTCTGTTAAAAGATCATTTTTTTCTTAGTAATGAATGCCTAAAAGCTTAATGATGTGTGTGTGTGTGTGTGTGTGTGTGTTTAACATCTCACCCTCACATCTAATAAATATTGGGCAAGATTTAACTCCTTCCCTGTGATCCACTTGCTAGTCCCAAGACCTACAAGAAGAAACAAAGAACTCCATATAGGTGTGCAGCCTCCTCCCTGCCAAACTAATCCCAGCTGTGGCACAGTAATCTTGTCTGTAAGTCTACAAAGTATTGATTGGTTTCATTATGCTAAATACCCACTCAACAATCTTGTGCAACTCCTAAATGCAAACGGAATGATATCAAAAAATAGCACCATAACCAACGCTTCCCCCTAAGCTTGTGCTAAAGAACTCCCCAGCCTTGTTTAAGAGCTCCTAGTCTTGCATGTTATGTGCAGATCTTCTGGTAAACCTCTCTTATTGACTTTAGAATGCTTTCCATCTTCTATAAAGAGCTTAAGTTCCTGCATGCATTGAATAGGGACTCAACAATTTACAAACATGTAGGATCTGGAACAACTTATGCATTTTGAGTCAGTTTCTTCAGTTGTAACATGGGTGTGAGAATAATTTATCATGAGGGAATTTTATGGATTGCATCTGCTAAAATTGCCTTTTTTATGTAGTAGATGCTGAATAAATATTGGCCATTCTTTCAAAATTCTGTGCATAAGATAATCTGACATAAAAATAAATGCTTAATAAATGTTGGCACTTATTTCCTCTTAAAATCATATCCATAGAGTTGCTCATATTAAGACATTTATCTTTTGAAAACATGATAGTTTTCTTGAAGAGTATTGCTTAATGCATTTTTTGTTTAGCCAAGTAACTTGACAAAATTATAAACTCTAGTGTAAATACAGAACATTAGATGACAGTCTGATAAAGTTCCATTTATAAATAAGCCTCTGATGAATTAATTTTTAAAAATATAAAAAGTGGTTTTGATGAAAAAGCCAAAAGGCTTTACATGTGTTTTGCTACCGGTAACATTTTCATCAGGAATTGATTTGAGACACAAAATGCATGGAAAAATACACTAAGTGGGATGAGTGCCATGAAAACTCTAAAAAGATGAGAAGGTATTTTGTCACATTCTTCCAAATGTCTTTCCTGGAAACAGTAGGCACTCAGAAGTATCACCTAAAAAAGTATGTAAATATGTAGGACTAATACTGAATATATATTTCAAAGAGTTCTTTAATGACTTGATGTATTAAATAACACAAATTGGATGTAGAAAATCCAGAAAATCTGATGGGTCAATGCCTCAAGTACATTAAGTCTATCAACTGCTGGTGAAAAACACCAAAGGGGAACATAAAGAGTAGGTGTGAATAAAAACTTTAGGGGACACAAAGTGAACACAATTTAGACAAGAAAGTGGAAATAGACATAATTAACAGAATATGTAGGGCCTCAGTTTATCCAACAAAGATTACTCTGTGTTTAGTAAAACGATTTTCTTGCAGATTAGAGATTCGAAATATTCTGTGTGGTTACAAAGTGAAACTCAAAACAACAGATATAAATATTGATTATTTGATCATATTATAGAAGGACTTCATTTTTCAAGTAGACAGTTTCAAAAAAGTTGTAAGCTTATGGAAAAGTCCTCTGGATTGAAATAAAACATTTAAAGTAGTAGTGTTCAAAATATATACGAGTCATATGTGCAATTTAAAATGTGATAGTTGCAATCTTAAAAATAAAAAAACAATAATATTAGTTTAATGCATTTTATTTCACCATTATGTATGGAATATTCTCACACAAAACTGCAGTCATCATAGAATTATTAATGAGCTATTTTACATTCACTTTGTCATATCTTCTTGGTATGCACATATTTAACACTCACATCATGCATCAGGTTGGAGTAGACACATTTCATCCACTCAGTGGACACATGCAGTTGCGTCTATCTTATTCAAAAGTACCTTGTTTGAAAGTATGTTATTATATCCATGACATTGAAAAGAACCAATAGCTCATTATCAGTTTGAAATGCATTACAAGGAAAATGCATAACAAATAATAGCCAAACTATTGATGCTGTATTACTCTTAAACTCTGAGTCACAGTCGAATGAATTCAGTATGAATTTTTCAAGTAGTTTTCTAGAGTTTACAGGAGTGAGTTGTCTGGTTATCAGAAAACTTTTTTTTAACTCATTTGTGTGAAATATTAGTCACCTTTTAGTCTTTCTTAAATATGACTGTTTTTTCTTTCTTATATAGTCTGTTTTCCCAAGTAGATTTTAAATCCCAGAAGTATAACACATACTAATCTGTATTTTACATAACAAATATATTTTTAATAGAGAAAAGTTTATTATACAAATGTCTAGTCTTAGAGCCACCTATGTATCAATTATGCTAACCTGTGGCCAATTTTTTAAGCAAAATAAGAACAAGTAATTGATCCAGTTATTTGAGTTATGACTGACAGCATCATAGAGGCCATTTGACCTGTATGTGATTAGTATTCTCTTCAGACCAAGAGTTGAAAAATCTTAATTGCTTTTCTCAGGAGTGCACTAATTCACTATTAGGTCATGACAATTCTAATATGAAAAGTACTTTTCAATCAACGAATGTTTCACATGTCATTTATTTGCTTTGTTTTCATTATTTTTAATTCTTATACAACTTTATTAAAGAACATTCAATAGCTCATTTCTGAATCAAAAAATTTTACAGCTTAGAATATGTAAGACTTGGTTTCTGGACTTATGACCAACTGTTTAATGTAGCTAAAAGCAACAGTTAAGAAATAATCCTAATCATTGGATAAAGTAGTTCTACTGATTATAATTTACATATATATATATAAGTATATATATATATATATCCATAGAAAAATTAGAATCACTAAATCACACAATGTAAGACATTACAGACAAGATAAAATTTAGAAATTTAAAGAACATAAATAAAAATTACAATATAATAGGAGAAAGTATGTCAAGCTTAGATATTCCACAATTTCTTTAACTTATTTGACTTTAGAACATTAGTATGACTGAACAGTTATACAAAATACATATAAA